GGCGGTGCAGGGCCCGCCGCTCTCCTCAGGGGAGCTTCGGCCTCTGCTTGTTGGCCGTCGCTTGGAGAGTAATTTTACCAGCAGCTGCGCGGAGGGCCGCTTTTGATTTTGGTGGCGGCAACAAATATTTGAATGTGGTTAAAAATGTCCGTGTCTCAAGCCCGAAGAAGCTGTAGGAGTTGCATAGCTGCTGGGGTTGCTGCCCAGTGTCAGTCGTTTCCACGGCTGAAGTAGTGCTACGTAACTATAACTCCTTGGGTGATTTCTATAGCGGTTAATCTTACAAGTGGTTATTTTGAAATTGCCTGTCACTGCAGTTTGCCCGGAGCTGGCTGAAACTCTCCTGAGGTATTCTGCATTTCAGTCCTGCTTTTATGTGGCTTCATGGTGATCTTCCATCGTTTCTGTTTGAGTTCAGGCTTGCTGCAATAAATGGGTAATAAATGCTGTAGAAATGTAGCCTGTAGTGTTGAGATTGTATAGTTCATGGAAACTTTCATTTTAGGCACGGGGGAAACATGTATTTCCCAAAGTGGTTTCTGACAACCAGGAACTGTCTGTATGGGCATCAGTAGCCCTGGTAGCCATGATGAAACAGAGGACATCATGCGGGCTTTGAAGGCCACATGATCAGCAAGTAGTTCAGCCTGTTTGAGAGAAGGGCGGTTTGGGAGCAGGTTTTGTAACACTGTCTTGACTAATTTTGTATCTGTTGCACGTGCTCTTATATGTTACAAATAAAAGTAATCCAGAATTTTCTCTCTCTAGAATTGAGATATGCCTTGAAATAGGATCTGGATCTGGTGTGGTTTCAACATTTCTAGCTTCTTCCATTATCGGATCCAATGCACTGTACATGTAAGTATAATAGCACTTGCCTAAATTGTTGCATGCAATAATAAAGAATACTTAGCCCTCACATATATACTTCTCGTATTTTAAAAATTATTCTTTTCACAACAAAACATTAGTTCAATTCTGCAGATATAGAAATCAAAGCAAAGAGAGCCTAAGCTATTTACTATAGGTTCTGTAACAAGTAGTCATGTGACTAAATTCCATTTTCCCACTTGTTACACAAATTGGTAAGCTTACACTTGTCTTTGCTGGGTTGAATTTTAGCCACTGACTAGTCTTACTGAGGTCAGGTGACATAACATTAGTTACCTGGGTGTTGGCAGTAAATGAATTTTATTCGAGACCTGTATGCATATATATTAATGCAGAGCTAGCATTGAAAAGGAAATCCTCTACTTCAGCATTCAGATGGTCACTAAAGCGTCTAGTGCAGTGTTGACTGGTTTAGTTGTTGATACATTGTGTACATTTACTGTCTATCTTTTGGTATTTACTTGCAAAGTAAAGGATGCTGGAAGGGACATTTTCATTGCGCATACATAAAATAGCATGTGGTTCACAGGATTAAACTGTTACTACAGTAGCCAGTAACTTACACTTTGTAATATTTTGCTTTTAGATGTACAGATATCAACCCGATGGCAGCTTACTGTACGCTGGAGACAGCTCTGCTTAACAATGTTCACCTTCAGCCAGTCATTACTGACTTGGTAAGATAGATGTTTCAGTAATATCTTCATTATAGTTTTTTTAATTTTTGAATACTTATTAGAGATACTGAAAAGTAATGATAAAGTCTAGAAAAAACATTCTCTTAATAAGCACCGATGGGGGGGAAAAAAAAACAAAACAAAAACACACAACAAAATGCGAAAGTGTTTCTGAAAGAAGGGAAAAACGAACTACTCAAGCTCTAAAATTCAAATTTAAGCTTTAAATATTCATTGAATTAATTTAAAAAAACAAATTATTTAGATATAGTTTGGAAAATGCTGCACAAGGAACTCTTCAGTGACCTGACATTATCATAGTCCTTCCTCTAATGCTATGCAGTTCTTGGTTCTAAACTCTTTCTGATTTGAACTGTGCATGTTGGTTTGGTTTTTTTTTCTTACAAAATTTGATACGGAGAAAAGCTTAAGTTTCTCATCTCCTTAGCAAGGTATTTGTTTAAAATACCCTAAATATATGTTTATAAAAGATAATGAAGATAGGCAACAATAAATATGACCTAAAACATATGAACAACTGCTCATACTTGAGAACTGAACTGCAGTTGTCACAGATTGGTCATTTTGGGTAACAAATGTTAACTGATGATAAATTCAAAATTCTTTTATGTCTAACTTAAATTCTGAACTGAGCAAGAATAAAGTACTACCCTTGTGTGCACATATGTGCTCTTGCTCTTCTACATTCCATACATAATGTAGTCTTAAGATTATTGAAATTGTTCTGCTATGCATGGGTACTTCTTAATGTTTCTCTTGCACATAGAAAGTAAAGTTTAGTGTTCCTAAGTCAGGCTGAAATGCTCGGAATATCCAGCAATATGTAAATGTATTTTTACAAAATGTTTGCATTCTTTATGTTTCTGGAAAAAAAAAACAACAAGCAAACCACAAACCAAAAGAATGATCAACTTCATCTACAGGTCAAAGGACTGTCTCCAAGATTAAATGGGAAGGTTGATCTACTGGTATTTAATCCACCATATGTGGTAACACCTTCTGAAGAGGTAGGAAAAAATTGAAATACACAATAAAAATGGTATTTCTACTGTCAAAGGAGAGACTGCAAATCAAATAAACTCTGGTATGAAAACGGCAGGGGATTTTTGAAATAGTAAAGAATGTTGTAGGACCAGGACTGTTGTAGTGAAAATGATTTACTAGAGTTGCTTATAAAGACTACACGTGAATGAGGATTGCTAGCTGCTGCTTCTCAATACATAGTTTCTCCATCAATTATAAATCATGTATGACTCCCTTAGGCACGCTAAGGTATTCTTACAGAAGGCTTTAAATGGAAAATGCGTTTCTTCCCTGCAAAATAAATATCCTCTGCTTTTGCAGACCCCTACGCTCAGAATTTGACCCATGTACACTTAAAGGGTTTTCTGACCACCCTTCCACTTGGCAAACAAACTCATAAAACATTAAAAGAAAATACATACAAAGCATGTGACAAAGTATAGCTCTTTTAATTCAGTTTAAGAATAGAACTTGAAACAAAAGTAGTACGTTCATCATGTAGGAAGTAGTCTTGAAGTAATTTTGCTGCATAAAGTTATCTGCCAAATCAAAGTTCTCATATATCTAATGTCAGACACCTAAAGCTAAAGATTATGGCGATGTTTCCCTTATAAGTACCACTACCATTTCTATCATTCTGTATTAAGACAATCTTTCCTTTCATTATTCCTAGGTGGAAAGCCATGGAATAGAGGCATCCTGGGCTGGTGGCAAAAAGGGCAGAGAAGTAATGGATAGAGTTTTTCCATTAGTACCAGACCTCCTTTCACCAGGAGGATTATTCTACTTGGTCACAATTAAAGAAAATAATCCAGGTAATCACTTTCCTTGGACCCTTAAAAGTGCCTAAATAGATTTAACACTGCATTAATCAAAATGTTGCTCACAGCAACGTTCTAGGTTATCAGACTTCAGTAAACAAGAAAAAGTAGCACATAACATCAGTTGAATCTAATGTGGTGATAGCAACTAACTGAGGATTGACAGCATGTATTAAAATGCATATAGGTGTTCTAGGTCATTATTTAGAAATGCTACAGATGGCTAGAGTGTATCTGCATGCTTCACACAAACCATGGCATCTCTTGTGCTTTTCATCTCTCAAGTTTGTGTGGGTGTCTAATCTACAGAGGGACTTTAACACAACGTGATGCCTCTTAGAATCTTTTTTCTGAATTCATGCCTTGTGCATCCAGTGTATGGTGAGCTAGACCAAAAACATAAGCGAATTTACCAAAACTAAGAACTCCCTAAGCTAGTTTGGAAAGTGGCAATATGTAGGTCCTGAGCCCAACAGCTCTGCAAGACTCCAGTTCCGAGTCTGAAAGGTGACTGTAAATTTTCTGAACTAAGTAATGAAGCCAGGCCAACCCTTTGTTGTGACAGAGAATGGCGTGGTAAACTTAAAATGAAAAAAGCTTTTAGTTAGTAATGTGATGTCTTTCATTTTTGACGTGTGTAGAAAAAAGATTTGGACTTGCTCCTTCTAATTGCTTAATGGCTATACGTTACGAAATAATTTCAAGAAGAAAGATTATTCTTTCACAACTGATTGATTAGGCAGCTTTTAGGAGAAGGTGCTATGAATTTCAGTTTCTCCTACAAATTAGCTTCATAATTGAATTGCTCACTGCTATTAATAATACCAAGATGTAGAACTTCAGTTAGTAGATTGTAAACTTTATTTGTTCTTGGTGCAAGAGTACTTTGTATAAAAATTACTGTCTGAAAGAGTAAGACGACACAGTTTGTAATCTTTGCTTTACAACTTATGTTTGGCAGATACATTAGCACTGCCTTTTATAGCCAATTTCTATATAAACTTGGTTGTAACACTGCACTTTCAATTACAGATGAAATTCTGGAAACAATGAAGAAACATGGCTTAGAAGGCACACAAGTACTTTCCAGGCAAGCAGGACAAGAGATGCTTACTATCCTCAAATTTAGGAAGTCTTGATAACTGCTGTTAACCATCTAGATGGCATGCAGAACATTGAACACAGAGTACTGAAGTTGTCAAATCAATTTTTAAGCCAGGATTTTCACCCTCTTAAGGTGTATGCTCACTTCCTGATTACTGCAGTGAAACTCATAAAGACTCTATTTATTTTTATTCTGAATGTTAACCAGCTATTATATGCTGGCAGAGGTACAATTGTCCTGGCTATCCGCAGGACAACTGTGGGGAAATGGTGAAATACCCTACACTGCTGCATTTGCACTTAAGCTCTAAAGACTTTATTCTCTATAAATAGGTATCTGTTTTAATAAACCACAGTGACAAATCTACAATGTACTTGATATAATTCTTCCTGTTTTAATAGCTAGTCTATACCTATGCTGGGTTTAAATGCATACTTGGAATCAGTGTTGCTCATTTTGATATAGTATCAGGCACTTTTACAGGTCTAAGGCACAGTTACTGAGTTTGTTTTTCTTATAAGGAAACAGTGTACTTCTGAACAGAAAGATGCAGTAAGTGTATCTCCAGAGCTGGGACAAAGGGAAACTATTACTCTCTTGACATCCTCTGCACAATATTGTGGTGACTGTGCTCCCTTTTGATGCCATTTTACAAGGAGGGTACTACTATGTGGTACTGTAGATAAGAAGAGTTCTCATCTGTGAAAAGGTCTTATGGGGGGGGGAAGGAAGCATATAAAATGCTAGTGAACTTCCCACTGACTGGAAAACCCCCATTTTTAAAAAGGGAAAAAAGGAAGACATGGGGAACTATGGGCTGGTCAGTCTCACCTTTGTGCCCGGCAAGGTCATGGAGCAGATCCTCCTGGAAACTCTGCTAAGGCACATGGGAAATAAAGAGGTGATTGGTGACAGCCAAGATGGCTTTACCAAGAGCAAGTCATGCCTGACAAATCTGGTGGCCTTCTATGACAGGGTTAGACCATTGGTGGATAAGGAAAGAACAACTGTCATCATCTACCTGGACATATGCAAAGTGTTTGACACTGTCCCACATGACATCCTGGTCTCTAAATTGGAGAGACATGGATTTGATGAACAGACCACTTGGTGGAAAATGAACAGGCTGGATGGCCACACTCAAAAGGTTGTGGTCAAGAGCTCGATGTCCAAGTGGAAACCTGACAAGTGGTGTTCCTCTGGGGTTGGTACTGTGACCAGTGCTGTTTAACATCTTTGTTGGCAATGTGGACAGGATTAAGTGCACCCTCGTCAAGTTTGCCGACAATGCCAAGCTGTGTGGCACAGTCGACAAGCTGGCGGAAAGGGATGCCATCCAGAGGGACCTGGACAGGCTGGAGGGGAAGGCCCATGTCAATCTCAAGAAGTTCAACAAGGGCAAGTGCAAGTTCCTGTACTTGGGTCGTGGCAATCCCAAGCACAAATACAGGCTGGGCGGAGAATGGATTGAGAACAGCCCTGAAAAGAAGGACTTGGGGGTGTTGGTTGATGAGAAGCTCAACATAAGCCAGCAATGCATGCTTGCAGCACAGAAGGCCAACTGTATCCTGGGCTGCATCAGAAGAAGTGTGGCCAGCAGGTCAAGGGAGGTGATTCTCCTTTACTCTGCTCTGGTGAGACCCCCACCTGGAGTACTGTGTCCAGCTTTGGAGTCAGCACAAGAAGGACATGAACCTGTTGCAGCAAGTCCAGAGCAGGGCCATGAAGATGGTCAGAGGGCTGGAGCACTTCTCCTATGAAGACAGGCTGAGAGAGTTGGGGTTGTTCAGCCTGGAGAAGAGAAGGCTCCAGGGAGACCTCACAGTGACCTTCCAGTATCTGAAGGGCACCTACAAGAAAGCTGGAGAGGGACTTTCTGTAAGGGCATGTAGCTATAAGACAAGGGGTAATAGCTTCAAACTGGAAGAGGGGAGATTTAGATTAGGTATCAGGAAGAAATTTTTCACTATGAGGGTGGTGAGACACTGGAACAGGTTGCCCAGAGAAGTTGTGGCTGCCCCCTCCCTGGAAGCGTTCAAGGCCAGGCTGGGTGGAGCCTTGAGGAACCTGGTCTAGTGGCAGGGGGGGTGGAACTAGATGATCTTTTAGGTCCCTTCCAACCTAAACTATTCTATGATCATGGTTTTTGATGTTATAATTATAGCAGTAGGGCTCTTTGTATGAACTAAAATGCTGTCATCCTTAGACAGCTCTAGAAGTTTTATGTTGCTAAACGCGTTGGCTAACAAAGTTAGGTTGCTGAGCAAAAGTCACAACAGCAAAAAATTATAAGATATAGTCAAAACACGTAATAGAATCAAACTACAGGTTTAACAAAAGGAAGTTTTAGTTAATCTGTCTAGCTTTTAGTTACAGCTAAAGAATTAGTTTTAGAAGAGGTAATCCAAGATATAAAAGGGCAGTCATCTGGCACAGTAGATCACAATGCTTATCAGCATATGCAGTTTTAAATTTTAAAAGACAGAATAATGAAAATCAGAACAGAAGAACAGAACAGAAAATGTAATAAAACATAACATGCTTTCAACCACAGACAATTGCACTGGACTATCCTAACAACTGGGTATTTGGACAAGGAACTATGTGTGTCCACTTTAATAAATCGTGAGTCCTTTCTCTTGGCCCTGCTCTCTTGCTGTCTCCTGCAACTTCAGTGGAAGCACATGCCAAAATGCAATCCAAGTAAGAACGTAGGTGAGTTCTGTAAGAACCGACTCCTTTATTATGCTCCCATCATCCTGATGAAGGCTAGGAACTAGTGACAGGCCAGGTAACTTTTGTTTGTTTTAAATTTTGAAATTTGCTCTGTCTACACAGAGGTCTGCATGTACACTTAGCATTTGCCAGGGCACACCTATTCCCTTCTCCTACAAGACCAAAGAATGTGACATTTTCTAGAGAGTTTGGGGAAGCATATTCTTGCATTCAGTGCACATGAGAGTAAGCTGCGTGGCAGATACAGTCTTTCTATGTAGTGTCAAACTTGCCAAGAAAACAAAAATTCTGCTCCCCAAGACCCCTAGGCACTGCTCTGTCACCAAGTACCAGTGTCAGAAGACATACTGCATCTTTGTGAGAGGCCTGCACTTCTTTGTTCTAGCAGAACCAAGACAAAAGCTCTCCACAAGACTGTTCCTAGTAGACAATTTGCAAGTTAGGGACTGCTGGAATAGTTTAAGATAGCTCTTTTCAAGCAATACCTGGTTAACCACAACTGGCCTTCAGATCAGTTATTTAACTTGCAAAGAAGTAATTTGGAGTAACCAGTCTTGTCTGAAACAAAGCGATGCAATGGCAACAATCCTGGAGTTTTAGTATCAGTAATTACAAAAACAAAACACCTTGCTCCTTAATCTGTGTTTTCAGTTAAACCTTTTCAAGATCAGTTTTAAATCCTGCCCATTCTCTCTTTCTCAAAAAACATCACGACATATCTCTTCTGGAAGCCCAGTGCTACCTATTAAAAATGCAGACTTAAGTTATCAACAGCTAAAAATAATTTCTAGAGCTGTCACTTCAAAAAGGACCAACTTTGAGAAAACATACAGAATCTAAAATAATCAGCTCTTAAGGTACAGCCAATTGAGCATGCTATAAACTTGGCATCTGAAAATTTATACTATTAATTTCTGAAAGTTTACCACACATGGAAAAAAGACAGCAATCCAGAGACTGCAGAGATTGACAAAATTCATTTATTCCTCTCCTTTTATTGACTTTTGAAAGAAATCCTCCACAAATACCATCCAAGTTAGAATATATTAGTATGTTACTGGTGTTAAAAAAAAACAACCATGAAGTGAATGTATAGTTGAAACGACGACAACATTAAATTCTGATATATCTGTCACATTCACTTAAAAGTCCTTATTGTCATAGGACAGTGGAAGTACAGTGTACATTCAGTGATAGTTAATTTGCCAGCTAACGAAGACATTAACCGCAATAATGGAAAAAAAGAATCGATGAGTGCGTATGCCTTCTTTTAAAAGCCAATTGTGAATAAAGAGGTAGTGTTTTTCACAATCATGCAGGAATGATTGTACTCTCTGCTGGGCTTACGAGTTTTCATGTTTTTAGGGTTCTGGGTGGCTGAGGGTTTTTTTTGGAAATGAGACTGTTAGAGGTGAAAGCTCAATTTATGAACACGTTAATTTTGAGCATGCTGTGTTTAAATTTTTTTGTTAGTAGAAAATTATCACCCTAGTTCCATGCCTTCATGTCTAACAGCAACAACATTCCTTTTTTTTACCCCCCATAAAAGGAACTATTATGAATGTACTATAATCAAAAATCAAGTCCTTATACCACCTATGTTAAATTCACCTGTTATATTAAGAGGTGTGATCTGGGTTAAGCGCATAACACCATGTTAGAGAATACCTAAAATAAGAGGTTTTAATCAACTATGCTGTGGCTTAAACACCACTTTCCAGACTTAAGTCTACATTATTTCTGAATTTTTAACATATCTTAATACCTTGAAAATATACAAATTAAAATAAATTACTCTTATATATTTCTTTATATCAAAGAAGAATCTTCAAACTTACAAAAAACAGTCCAGAGGTAAATATGTGTCATATCCCACTAGTCAAGAATTTAAAGTAACTGAGTATTTCCAAGTAGTTAGCTTCTTTCAACATACAGCTTATTGCCTCCTCTTCATTTACTACTTAGTTCACAGAAAGAAGACAGACCATTTTATTTCAGAAAAATGTCTCTCGACAGAGCGGACAGGTGGATTTGTTGCTGGACGTGAACCATTTGTACTGAAAGAGAAATATAACTGTTTAATATACGAATGCAAGCTGAATATCAAGAACAATGGTTTATCACCAATAAGAACCATTATTTGCCAATGAATATAACTGTCAAAACATCAACTGCAGTTTAAAAAAACCAAGAAGAAACAGTAAAACAACCCCAACCCTTTCCACTTGCGTATCTATGCATGTATATATATACATATGTATTTGTACACACACAATGCTAAAGTGTTATTCTAAAAAAACTGACACAAAGGAATTCTCATCCAGTCACATTT